CCACTTGAAGGTATAGTCTGGTCTGATGCTTGATGTCCTAAAACCGTCTTCTCAGTCTATGTCCAATATAATCTAATCCAAATCATCTCCACTTTCTCCCACTGCATATTTGTTGAGTGGTAGCTTGTCAGTTGGTTGGTTTCGTTGGTGGTCAGCCAGAGAGAGTTCCTTACTGAGTGAGCGGCAGCCGTTGATGATGTATGTCAGCAGTTTGTTGGAAATGCTTTCCGTAACGTGCCAAGTTTCTCAAGCATCACATCGAAGCACTGACTTACTTGACTGACAGTAGTGTTGAAAACTGGGATCTTGTCCACGTTTTATGTTGAGTGCAGTGAACCAGATCTCCAAACTGATTTGATTCCGGATCAGTAAAGGAAAGTATGCTATGTTATCTTCTCAATCCTGACTTTGACATTCTCACCTGTACCGCCACTGCTTATAGTTGAGACAATGGTGCCTAAGAAGGTAGGTAGGTGAAAGAGATAACTTTCTTTAGATTTCTTTCGTTGATAATGATTGATGCTTGTTGTTGATGGTCGGGTATCTTCATCACCTCTATATTCTCTGCCTTCTCTAACGTTGTATAATAACCGTAATTTGTTTAAATATTACAGCTTGTAGTTTTTCATCGTTAGGGTTAGGGTTAATCGACCAATGTTGGTAAATTGGCTTCTATGCGGATACCTGACGCTGAAAGCGATTTGTTCTGTGTCCATGTTTTGACGGCAACATTACCACTCACTGGAGTACTGGTACACCAAACTGACGAGCCCTGAGTAGGCCGAAACTCACGTCCTAGATTACACTGCTTGCCACACTCCATGTTTAATACCTTCGTTTACTTGTCATTTATTACTAACCAACCTATCTATTGATTTTCTGATATTATGTCACAATCTGTTTGGTGGGTAGCAGGAGAATCCAAGACATGCGTTTCTTCCGATTGGGGATTCATCAGCGGGATGTATCTACATCTAAATGAGTGATTTTTTTTTCCCCACTGAAATTTGGATCCAGAACCTACTGTTTCAACCGTCAAAACATTATCTACTAGCCCACAAAGTTATGAGGACCATTTCGTATGCAAAGAGAATAAGGTTTTATTTGATGCTTGTGATTATTCGATGCTGTTACACTTCAATCATTCTCCTTACCTTACTTAAATTCATTAAAATAGTATAGTTGATTAAAAAATCAAGTTATTTCGAATAAGATTTCTAAAAGGCAAGTTGTTAGTAGTCAACATATAGGATGATATATCGACCATTCAATCTTGAAATATTTATTCACTTAAACTAAACTAATGACCTTCATTGTTTGTCCTTGAATAAAATGTATATTATTATTATTATTATTATTATTATTATTATTATTATGAAAGAAATAAAACAAATAGTTCAACTATTCACTATATTTATTCGCTTAAGTGCTTATTAACCATTTCAGTAGGCAAAAATACAAATCATATTATAAAGTTTAAGAATATTGACATAATGAGATATAGTCAAAAAACACACCCTATGCTTAAGTGTTTAAAAGAATTCTTTCAGTGTTTATAGAAAAATGAATATTACAGGTTCATTTAAACAATAAATTTCAACTTAATACTCATGTCCAAGTTAAAGGTATAGTTTAAAACAGGAAGAGAGAGAATAACATATCATTTAGAATGAGTATATCTACTGAAATACTACTGTTATTTTCAATTATTATATTATTATTACTTTCCCCTTGGGTTTCTAGTGGGGCATACACCTTCAGGAGCACATCTCCATTCTACTCCCTTCTTTACAGTCTTTTGAACCTCAATCCTTCACTGCCAACAAGCTTTCATTTCTTCCTCACATCACATCCTCCATATCACACTCAACTGGGACACCAAATTCGTCGTCTCCCCGGAACAGGCCGGCTGGCTGGCTGGCTGATTTCAGGAAGAACAAATCATGTGCGGACCAAATTGTAGCGCCACGCTACACATCATTATAGAATACAGCACAGAATGGCAGTCAATGGAATCTTTACGTCAACTTCATCGACTTTGAAGAGGCCTTCGACAGCGTCAATAGCGCCGAGAAGTAATTTGGCAGGCAGGTGCTTCAACACTACGCTGTTAGTTCCATAATCATCATCAACCTCATTCAACAACAGCTACATGTTACGCTGTATGCGGATGTTACTTGCCAAGTGATTCACACCACAATGGAAAGCTCAGTGATGCCATGGAAGCGAAGACAGAATGGAGTCAAAAAGAGGAAGTTGCCCACTATCATCGATGATAGTCCTGATTGTGGTTGACTGGATTTGGCAAGAAGCTGTGAGGAGCTGTGAGCAACTGTGAGTAGATGGGCATACACCATCTGGACCGAGGAAAAGACCCCAAAAGAAGATTTGGATTTCGCCGATGATGACTAATATCTAGTGTCTTATGTCGCACAAACTCGGAGATGTACACGTGAAAACTAACATGTTGACAGAAGAGGTGAGGCAGGGTAGGGCAGCGAAGGGAAGGGAAGACGGAATTTCCTTCAGGTGAACGTAGAGAAGACAGACGTGGTGAACATTCCCAACGAACAAACAAGCACTAGTCACCATCAATGGGAGAAATCTAAACGAAGTTGTCTCTTTCGCCTACCTACCTTTCCGGGCAGCAGATGAATTTGGTACACACCAAGTAAGCCATTCGGAAACATTACGCGCCAGGCCCTCAAGTGGAATCTAAAGGGGAAGCGATGAGTTGGGTATCAGAAGTGAAGGTTACGTGGAAGAGATCGTGTGAGGAAGAAATGAGAGGTTATGGGGAGTGGTGTAGCCAGGTTGAAAAGACTGCAGGGAAGAGAGTTCAGTAGAAGCGTGCTACTGAAGCCCTACGTTCCACAAGGAACCCAACGGATAAATAATAATATCAATAATGTACAACATTTGAGATAGGTAGAATATAGAATAGGTATATCTTTACATAATACAATCATTAGTTACCAGTAAAATGGAACACCATTTACTAACGAATAGTAAGTGAGAACTGAGGTAGTTAAAGTCAGAAATCGTTTGTCAAAGCATTACGAGTGAAGTCTTTTGTCCTAGAGAAAGTAAGTCTTGATTGTTTAATTTCATCAGCATCTAACCAACTGTTTACAACCAACAATATCCCAATATAGTTACTTTATTGGAAACTTAAAATACTTTAGTTCCCCGGATGAAACAAAACCTGGGTTAGTAGTTGACATGAACAGAAATAGTGATAGGATATTGACAAGTCATGATGCCAATTCCAAGGAAGGCTAATTAGATAGAACAAGGCTACGTTCAAATAAATGTGGTTTTGATTTCTGTATGGCTATCGTATCCATACCCTCAACTGAATGACTCGATTACTCCTCCCCATGTATGTGTCACCACACACATATACATACATGTGAATTGATAAACACAGTGGGATATGACGTAATCATCGATGCAGTGCTTAGGTTTGTGGCGAAGCATGTGTTTTGTTTTCTGCACATGGATAAGATTAGCTGTGTAATATATTTTCGTAATGGCTGATATTAGCTTACGTCTCAAAATGATACTATTCAACTCCGCTTTGTATGGTAGAATAATATGGACACTTTTCTTAGGCACGGTGTATCGAGTTGGTTTCGGTGCTAACTGACGTCGACAACAAATTAACCAACTAAGAGTCTATCACTCAACAAATACGTAGTGGAAGAAGGTGGAAGTGGATTGTATTGGACATAGACTGAGAAGATGATAGTGGGACATCACGCAACAGACCAGACCACAGCTATAGGTGAAAGTAAAATGGGAAACGGTGAGTTAGGTGTCCGAGGCGAGGGTGACATGGAGGAAGGAGATCGTATGAGGAAGAAATGGGAGGTTATGTGGAGTGGTGGCGTGCTACTGAAGTCCTATGCTCCATTAAGAACCCTAGGGACTATTAAAATAATATAATCATATGTTTCACATAGCCTTGTAAACGAAACAATGTACTTTCAGTATCGAATGAATTTTTCTGGTGAATAATGTATTTTCTTCATATTTGTGTATTTGTTTTTTAAACATATAATGGTGGATAGTGACTCATAATGGAATACAAGTGTAGTGCTTCGATCATTTTGAGATTCATCAACCACATCTTTAAGACTATTTTTCAATTTACTTACAGTTTAGTAACACCATTTCGATATATAAGGTTTGGGTTTATATGCATGGAATTATCTAACCATATAAAAATAAAATATTCTATTAATGAATGAAATTGAATTGATTAGCTTGCCGAAAAGGTAGCGAAGATGGGACTTCAAGCGAACACAGAGAAGATAGAAGTGATGATCATGATACCCAGTCAACGTCACCACCACCAACAACAACAACAAGCTCCAGTCACCATCAATGGGAGAAATGTAAAAGAAGTAGCCTCTTTCATCTATCTAAGCAACATCATTTCAACTACAGGCGACACAGACGAGGACGTCAAAGCCAATCAAGATTGAAGAAGCAAGACAAGCATTCATTAACCCCGAAACGAGTTTAGAGATCTTCTGCAATCAGCAAGTCAGTTCTGCCATATGGTTGAGAAACTTGGCACGTTATGAAAAGCATTTCCAACAGATATTCATCAACAACTGACTACACTGGCCCGTTACTGAAGCTCAGATAGGCAGAAAGAATAAGCAACAAGGAACAAACCAACCAAGAACGTGTTGCTCAACAACTATGCACTGAAATGAAGTGAATATGGATTGAGCATACACTGAGAAGACCATTTGGGAACATCTTGCATCAGGTCAACTACTCCAGTGGAACCAAGATGGGAAATGGCAAGTTGAGCTTCCAAGGTGAGAGTGACATAGAGTAGATCATGTGAGAAAGAAATGAGAGCTTGTGGACAGTTATGGAGTCAGGTTGAAAAGATTACAGAAAACAGAATTCACTGAAGATATGCTAATGAAGTTGTATGTTCTATAAGGAACGCTAAAAACAAATAAGAAGAATAAACTTACCGAAAATTACTACATGGATGAATAACCCATTTGCCTTGTTGTACTTGACGTCGTTTCTCTTTAAGTAATGCATTTTTACTTCCAAATAATTTCATAGCTAATTTATTATCAGATGGTTGAAAAAATGCTTGAAATTGTTCTTTTAAATAACTTGATGTACTTTGTTTCAATGGATCTATTATCTGTTCTGTAATATTACCATTAACTAAAGCATTAATCATTGATGTATTTGATGTTATTATTCCATTTGTTATATTCATTGTATTATTATTATTATTAGTAGTAGTAGTATTATTGTGTTGAGATGTTGAAATATTTACATTTGAAGTTGGTATAGATTTATCGGTTAAGATAATATTAGATAAATTACAAGAAACTGTACAATGATTACTATTATTGAAAGATATTTCAGGTCATTATCATCTTTATACTGTGAATTATTTGTATTATTCAATGAAGTATGATATAAATTAGATGATAATGATGTTTGTATTGATGTTATTGGTTGAATGAATTGTGAATTAATAGAATCTAAAGGATATTCAAATGATATACAATTTGAATATGTTCTATTGAACATTGAATTGATATCTTCATGACTTAATTTTTTGTTTAAATGAAACAAATTTTCATCTTTGAATTCATGTTTTATCTGTTTTTTTATATTGAATTGATCAGTATTATTATTATTATTATTATATATATAATTGTATTGTTCCATTGGTGTTGTATTCATTCTACGTATTGTATTTATACGATTTGATCTTTTTGGTATACATGATGTTGAAGATGTTGATGAAATTATATTGTTTTCATTATTTATAATTATATTTTTATTATTCAATAAAATATCTTTTTCATTAATTATTTCATTTATAGGTGTATTATGTAGAGAATGCCCAGAATCTATTCGATTAAAATCACATGAAGGCCAATTTATTCGTGTATTAGTATTATCCATATAAATTTCATTATAAATATTTACTGGTATTTCTAAGATACTACTATCAAATTGTTGTGGAGTATTATATACTTGTTCTAATCTATTTGTTAATTCATTTAACCTATAAGATTGTTGATATAATTGATGAGTAGAAGAATGTGATTGATTATGATTTCCTGATGAAAAGTATGATCTTAAATTACAACGTTGTTGTTGTTGATGATGATAAAGATGACGATTTGATCTGTTTTGTTGTTGATTACAATGAGTTTTTCGATGATTTAATGATTCATTTAAACATATTTCTGTTTCATCTAAAGGATTATAAACATCTTTAACTTCTGAGATAGCTCGTCGTAAATTTGGACGAAATGTTCGATTGAATAAACTATTTAATACTTTATGATTATCATCTTCAATATCAATACTTTTTGAGAAGTTAAAATGTACTCTATTAGATGTATGTGTTAAATAATTAGGTGAATTATTCAATTTTCTATGTGAATTTTTTATCTGCCTATTTGTAATAGTATCACTGTTTTCATCTGATTTATTTACAGCATACTGCTCATGACTACTATTAGTAGTAGGTGGTAAATCGAAAGAATTACTCAACAAATGATAATCTGGATTCGAGTAATTTCCACGTTTAGTAACATCACTATTATTATTATTATTATTATTATTATTATTATTATTATTATTATTATTACTGGTAGTAGTAGTAGTAGTAGTAGTGTAAATGTGACTACAAATCTGACTAGATGAATTCGAATAATCTAATGAAGTGGTTAATAAGTTACACTGTAATTCTTCATTTTGATTGGTTAACATTGCAGTTGTATGGGAATGTTGCATTTGTTGTTTCGCTAATTTTGATTGGTCCATACTTAAGGTGAACTGGGATTTGTTCAACTTGTTAACGCTTGATAAATTAGGTTCAGATACTGATTTGTAAAAAAAAAAAAAAGATAAACAAAAAGAAAATGAAATAAAAAAATTCTATCTGTTGACAAATAATTTTCGTATATGATAAAAAGTTATAGGTAAGGTCATCCATTGAGTGTATCATACGCAAGACAAAGATAAACTCTATACAAACTTCTTTTCTGAATGTTACGGTTTTTACATCTTCGTCGTTGACTAGACCAAATTGCTTAGCCATTATTTTGATATTATTGATGGATAGTGGTTAGCAATGGAATCAAGGATGAGCATTTCATCGTATTTGGGACTCATCAGCTGGATATACCTGCTTATCAGTCAATGATATTGTTCTCAAAGTATCAGACTAACAAAATCTCGAGGCATACGGTGTGGTCATCGTGGTTCAGTGGCTTAGTGGATAATACACTGAGTTTTAGAGCGAACAATATCGTTCACTAAATGATAGGTAAATCTAGCTGATAATTCCTAAACAGGATTAAATGTGTATCCTAGACTCCAAAGTCAGCCACTTCCCAGAATTACTATCGGAATTTTGGACTACTCATTCAAATTCTCAAAGGCTCAGTTATTTATTGAGAAGAGGCAACTTCCAATTTTACTCTCCTACCCCATATTGATTGTTCAAAGGAGAGCAATCAGTTTCATGTTGTCTAATCCTGAGTGAAGACGAATCCTGTCGACCACATTTGCAATGCCGTCACCAAACTAGGAAGCTCAGCATCACGATATATATATCAGTAGATTTCACATTGTTGCTACCACCTGAAATTTGCTGACTACAACACTGGCTGACGGTGCTTCTAATCTTAGGTGGAACATCAGTTCCATTGCTGTTGCAGATAGGCTATGCTGATGAGTGCTAACAAACCCGAAACGTAAGTAGGGCAGGATCTCCTGCCAACTGCATCCAGACAACCAACGTCTCCTCTTCTACTCTTTTTATTTTATTTTGTCACGACTTTCATACCATTACTGTATTCATACTCAAACTTGATTTATCTAATGTCTTCATCCTTCAGTATTACGTAACCTTATGCGCTTTTCTAAGCTTTGACCTACTTTTTTTGTCTATCTGTTTGTCTGACATCTGTGTACATTGCCATGCAATTGTTAACATTCATATAACCCCTATAATCTAGTTATTTTATTATTCTTAAGTACGCAATCATCATCCATCCCAGCGTAAAACTTGAGTACTGTTGTAGAATATAATTCCATAATAGATCGTTTATTTGATATGTTACTTAGTGAGTGACACATAGTATCATTTACTGAATGACGTTTCGAGGAGAATTTATTGCTCGTTTTCAGATAAGAGTAACCGTATGACTTTAAAACTTCACTTATATAGTTCAAACGATCGACATTTTTTGAAATAATGGAGAATATTTGTAGCTCACGTGATTGGTCTTGGTTGCATTGTGTTATCTCAGCTGGTGGGTTTTTTAATCGTGACGACGACATCATCAGCACTAACTTCAGTATGAAGAGTCCTGTCAATATCTCTACGTGAGTAATTCAGTTGCATGCCCTGAAGAACTGTTTTGTGATTGGTTGTTCCCTTCGATTGCTGTGTTATTGACTGTACAGACTTCCCTGTTGGCTGTTCCTCTGTTTGACCTCTGACAGATGATGACAGAAAAGTCAGAGGTCAAGCAGAGAAATAGCCAGCTGAAATGTCTATACAATGATACAACAATCGAAGGGAACAACCAATCACAGACTATATCATCAGAGCAAGTCACTAAATCACTGACGGAGAGATATTGACAGCTCACTTTATACTGAAGTTAGTACTGTTGATGATGTCGTTCAGGAGAAAGACGATAAAAGAATGATAATGTTAACAGTCACTTTAACATCCCATAAGAGGAGATTCAAATCTTCAGTTTACTGTTGCCGTATAAAACGACATGTCAGAAATTCTACGTAGAACTCTTAACAGTACTGGCTGGGATTATGGTAGCATTTAAACCAACAAACTTGCTTAGAGAAAAACTTTGTAGGCTGCTACATCCAATAAGGATAATTAGGGAAAATAACCTAATTGGTCAGGTCAGGTTAGTTATAATAACATAGCATAAAGATTTGACGGATCATACAATGGTAGATCTTACTAAGATAATTAATTTATAGAAAAATTTGGCTATCCTTCTGCGTCCATTGACTAGTAATCATACTAAGGGTTGGGTTGGATAGGGTGACAATCCTATAATCAAATATGGGTGGAGGTAGAGATTGAACACGTTATTATTTTCCCTTGAACCAACATCTAACTCACATGGAACACGAATAATTCAATACATATAATTATAGTTATCTGGGAAATTTTGCTATCATCGGAATAACAGAATGTCGAATTATTGGACTATGTATGAGAGAAGTTTGAAAGTTGCATGATTACTTTGATATGAATATGAGCGATAAATTTTTGCTCGAAATGTCATTTAGTAGGTGATACTACATCATTGTCTGATATATCAAATAACCTTGCTGTCGTTTACTCATGAAATACGTTAATTAGTTCATATACTGTCTATACTTTGAAAGCTGTGCGTATTGGAAGGAAAACTGACCATTATTATTATTATTATTATTATTATTATTATTATTATTATTATTATTTGTCCTTTAGGTTCCTAGTGGAACATAGGGTTTGAGTACCACGTCGCCATTCAACTCTCTTCTCTTCAGTCTGTTCAACCTGGTTACGCCACTCCCCATAACCTTCCAGTTCTTCCACACACCATCTCCTCCATGTCACCCTCCAATGCCAAACTCGTCGTTCCCATTTCGCTTCCACTTGAAGGTGTGGTCTTGTCTGTCGTGTGATATCCCAATATCGTCTTCTCAATCTATGTCCAATACAATACAATCCACCTTTAATTTCTTCCACTGCATATTTGTTGAGCGAAAGGCTCTTAGTTGATTGGTTCTTTATCAGGCCAGACAGAGTTCCTTGTTGCTCATTCTTATTATTCTGACCATCCGCCTGATCTTGAGTATCGAGTGAGTGTAGGTGGCAGTCGTTAATGATGTATGTCAGCAGTTTGTTGGAAATGCTTTTCGTAATGCGCCAGGTTTCTCAAGTATCATATAGAAGCACTGATTTACTTGACTGACAATAATGTTAAAAATTGGGATCTTTCTCACACTTTATGTTGAGTACAGTGTATTCAGGCGAAGTACAATAGATCTCCATACTGATTTCAGATGAATGAAGGATGGTGTGTCTTGCTGCCTTTCCGATCGTGGCTTTGAGATCCTCATCTGTGCCTGTGCCGCAGCCTGTAGTTAAGTCGATCCTGTCTACGTAGGTAGGTAGGTAGGTAGGTAGGTAGGTGTGGGGTGGTAGGTAGGTAGGTGTGGGGTGGTAGGTAGGTAGGCAGGTAGGTGTGGGGTGGTAGGTAGGTAGGCAGGTAGGTGTGGGGTGGTAGGTAGGTAGGTGTGGGGTGGTAGGTAGGTAGGTAGGTAGGTGTGGGGTGGTAGGTAGGTAGGTAGGTGTGGGGTGGTAGGTAGGTAGGTAGGTGTGGGGTGGTAGGTAGGTAGGTAGGTGTGGGGTGGTAGGTAGGTAGGTAGGTAAAAGAGACAACTTCATTTAGATCTCTCCCTTTGATAATGACTGGTGCTTGTTGTTGGCGGTCGGGTATCTTCACCATCTCTGTCTCCTCCACGTTTACCCGATAGAAGTCCCGTCCGAATTCGCTGCCTCGCCTATTCTGCCAACTTGTTACATCTTCCAGTTTGTGTGACAAGCCATTGGATATCGATCATCATCGGTGAAATCCAAATCTTCTTCTGGTCTTTGCATTGATTCAACCAGTGAATGCCTGTCATCTAACAGCTCCTCATAGTTTCTTGCTTAATCCAGTCAACCCCAATCAGGAAGACAGTCCGTGAAAGTAGGTGGCAACTTTGTCTTATTCCTGTCTTTACTTCAAAGGCATTACTGAGCTTTCCATTGTGAATCACTTGGCATGCGACCTCGTCATTTAGCTGTTGAATGAGGTTGATAAGGGTTTTCGGCGCTGAAACAGTAGTGTTGAAGCAACTGTCAAATTACTTCTCGGTCGATGCTGTCGAAAGCCTTTTCAAAATCGATGAAATTGAAGTTGAGTTGACTGGCATTATATACTCTGTTCGATAATGATGCGTAGCGTTGCAATTCGATCCGCACATGATTTGTTCTCCCTGAAGCTAGCCAGTCAGCCTGTTTCGGCCGCAATTTTTCATCCAGAGCATTTTTTCAGTCATTCCAGGATGATATGAAACCTGATGAGATCTTCTTGAGAACTATATTGTTTAGTTACAGCTAAGTAAGCTGGTAATCATAAATGAATGCAGGGAAGGTTAAACACTAAAGAAATCTTTCATATCTCCTGTGATTTTAGTCGATAATCCATCCTGACTTCATAAAAATGGCAGTAACAAACAACAAAGTAGGTCATTATGATTCTTCAATTCCTTCGAAGTGATAATGACACAAACGAGCTTCACTGTACTAAAGTTTACTGAAGCTGTAGCCATTAGATCCCTCTCACGTGATTTATGTGTTCAAAAGAAACTAGCATGAACCTCAATCCACCTTGTTAACCGTTCTTGATTGTCGTCTGATTACATAATCCTTTGTCAATTTTCGATGTTTGTTACTTCACTCTTATTTAATTGCATGATGTTTTGTACATAAATAAATGAGTCTGATTCACAATATTTTGTTTACTTATAACCCGCCTACATAACCTCATAATTGACTTTTATCATGACTTCTGTCCTGCTTAATCACTGACCAACATCATGTTCTCTCTATTTCAATGGATTAAAGTTTACTTGGTTGTGTGGCTATCAGAGGAATCAAGGGTGCGCGTTTCATCCTATTTGGGACTCGTCAACTTGATATACATGCCTCACAATAAGAGATGTTGTTTCCACTGAAAGGCCGGTGTATCCAGCTGACACATCTCCAATAGAAAGAGATGCGTATCCTGGATTCCACTTCTAG